AGAGACTTGCAATTATTTGCCCTAGACTTCTGCTTTCAGACGTAGTTAATTATGAAGTTATTCCGATAATAATCCAATGCAGAGGCAATAATGTAATATAATACATTATTTTATATATATTCAATATTTATATATGTGTTTTTATATAGTCTTAAAGTTACAACCGGCCCTTTGAGTGCAACCATAATGCTGATGTGGCCCGTGATGAAATTGAGTTTGACACCCCTGATTTAGAGTGTTGCATGCTGACATTGGCTAATAGGCACCACGTATCTGCCTCTGTCTTGTGTTCAAAGTTATTTTGAATTTCCTGTACAATGTATGAAATATGCTCTTCTCTCAGTGAGTTCATCACACCTGAAATATAAATCCCAAATCATCTTATTTCCACACAGACACATGTTCTGCCTCCCTTTCACCCTTTCTTCACTAGGCTCTGCCAAGACGTAGGGTGAGCGTAGCGGTGGTGCCTAAGTTTAACCTCCTCAACATCCCGGGTCAGACCCCAGCCACGGCTTTCCCGGGCCTCAACATGGGCCCCAGCACGGGACCCATCACAAGTGCTGCTCTTCCTGCCCTGGTAGGTCTTCCTGTCCTGTCGGGAAATGATAGGAAATTACATATCAAGAATGTATGGTAGTGACACACACTCCATAAACTGCTGAACATCACTTTTATACAATGGGTTATTTAGAAGTCATCTCTCTTGCTTACCAAGGGGTTCACTTAAAGGACAGCAATTCTTGTTTAGGATTTTCTTTTTATTTCAAAATGGATAGGTAGAAATTTGAATGTTTTTACTTTTTCTCTTTTTCTCTCTAACGACACTTTGGAACTTGGAAAAACAAAATAAATTAAATATATAAAATAGTTAAAACGAGCTCCACCTCCAACAACCGCAACAATTAAGTGCTGCTTAACCATTTATGCATCAGCATTAACAATAATAACATCATATATAATGTTGTTGCAGTCACACAAGTACTTGATACATACAGTTAACTATAAGACATTATTTTTACATTGTGGTAATGGTACCATGGATTTTAATACTTTGATCTCATCTTTTGATTGTATATTATTGTTATAAGGCAATACAATTCTCTGATTTCCTTGTCTTTAGTGTGAAGCGAATGATGTGAAAGCCAACGCTCCCTCAGAGGCAGCACAACCAGCAGCAGAATGGTATGTTTTATGTAATAATATTTTGCTTACACACACATACACCCATGACTGAATGTACTGTATGTTCACATACCTTTGCATGTTTCCCAAGGTCACCACATAGTCCTTAAAACAATGGGCCACAAAATGCTTGAACTCCTAATCATTCTTATCAAAAGTATTTAGTGCTGCAGCGGGACCTTTGTCTTGTTTGTGTGACCTTTAGGATGTGTTTCACCGTGCAGAAAAAGCCCCAGTAGGGGGAATATAACCCTGACTGCATACAAAATAATCTACCCCTGCTGCAGTTGATGGATATGCTATGCAGAGGCCATAATCTAAACATTTGTGCAAAGAGTTTGACAAAGTCCAGGCACAAGGCACCAATCATATCCTGGTTATAAAGAGCGCCTGAGTGGAGCGCTCAAGTGAAGTGTCTACATGCTCTGCGAGGAGACGAGAATAGTAATAACAAATGTGCAAAGTGCCTGCTCCATTTCTCCTCTTTGTACTCGCCATGTCTGTGACGGTGTCAGTGCTGCAGCTCGTCCGTTGTAACACAAGGCCACAGTTTTGTGATGGAACCTAAATGTCCAATCCTTGCAGTTTTACAACGTCGCTCCAATTGTCTAACCCAAGGCTGACTGTTCTTTCCCATCCGAAACAATGCAGTGGAAAGAGTGTGTCGGAGCCGGAAAGTGAGCCGGCCAAGCCTCCAGTCAACTTAGAGGAGATCAGAGCCGAGATCAGAGCCGAGCTCAAGGCAAAGATGGAGGAGGAGGTGTATAATAAAGGGTGAGACATCCATCCTTAACTACACACAAACACTCTGTGTGATGACACTGTTGTTGCTCAGCATAACTCACCACATGTATGATTAGTTTTGTTGTGGTTGTGCAGGTGTATATCATCTTAATTTATTGAAAGCCCCTTGAGATTTAGGGGGATACAAATACTAAACTGTAAAACACATCAAATCAATAACAGCATTATATAACATAACACACACTACAATTACATGATTAGGAAGACTGAGACTTTCATTTATTTCTGCAGTAGGACATATTCATATTATTATACCCCTTAAATCTTGGTTACATTTGACTATTTCCTACCCAGCTACCAAGAGGGACTCAAGCAAAGCAAAGTGCTCCAGGAGGAAAAGCAGGAAGAGGAAAACGCTGCAGAGAAATTGCTTGAATCCAAAAATAAGGATGAAGAGAGCGGAAAGAAGAGAAGGACGAGCAGGTAAACTGAATCTGAATCTGTCCTGGAAGTGGCACATCACAACTCTCAGGTTTCTGCATTCAAGTACAAATGTAAAGAGGCAGACATCCTTATTAGTATTTATGTGAATTGCTTAACCAAAGGTATATATTTCTTCATTAGCCACTTGCAGAAAGCTCATGGTCACACACGTGTCCTGTTGGTAAACATTAGTCAAAGTGACAGTGGAAACTATTTAACTTTTCAAGGAAAGGGTGAAATGAAATGTAACTGTCCTGTTCTTTATGACAACACGTATATAATGACCTTTACCAATCTTCAAATGTACAAATCACTTCTCAGTTTAAGTATAAGTATCTTTCCAACACATGGATCTCTTTGATGATTTACAGCCAGTTTGTTGCTGCAGTAAACCTTAAGATGCGTATCTGCCATGTTTAACTGTTGACAGGAATTTGAATATCACATGCATACTGTATGAGTTCATTATCTTCGCAGGAGGATGGAGGAGGTCCTGGTTCTTCTTGGTCGCTTTTGGCCCAAGTTTCCCTTGAGTCGGCGTCTTCTCTGGGTCGCCCTGACGCTGTTTGTGGGGATGTGCCTGGTTATCAGTATTTTTACCTTCTTCAGTGACTACTACAAAAGACATGAGGACACGTAAGCAGGGACGAGATCTTTGGACTGAGTGTAGCAGAACAACCAAAGAACACCATCACAGAAAACCGAGGCAGTGATCCATCTGTCAGTTCACCATATCTTCACATTGGACTCACTTGAATCCATGACTCTGACTCTCGAGGGGCTACGATGTTTTGGGAGGCTTTTTGGATCATGTTGCCTCATGTTGCCTCTGTCTTAGTAAACAGCATTAAGTTATGATTTTATTTCAATTTAAAAAAATTGTCAGATTGTTTGACGCAGCGATAAAAAAGGAGTGTTGTTTAGGGACCAATTATACAGTGTGATAATATATATTTAAATTAGATTAATACGTGAGAATATCTTCTGGTTTGGGTACTTTCCATTAATGCCGCTGTAGAAAAAGTGAATATTTGTATCTGCACTCTAATGTTTAAGTATATTCTCTCAGGTCCAATAGATAATAATGCCGCTGAGAGACTTTGAATTCATATTTAAAGATTTAGAAAGTAAAGGAATGTTTTAATGTTTTTATTCAATTTCTATAATGTGTATTTAAATACTTTAAAATAGCACATTCAAAAGTGCAATATTTTGCAGCTGATGGTCCACGTTGTGCCATCTTGTATTGTGTCTTCAGAGCACTGAAAGATTTTCTTTGATTAGACGGCATGAGTCTTATTTGTATCTTCTTTGCACATGTGTGCCTACCTGTGTTGTTTGTTCTTTGTGGGTGTTATGCTCTGCCACTTCACCTTTTAAATAAAGGTGCCTGAAAGCAGATTGTAGTGATTTCTAATGCGAGATATAATGTAGGATGCACCAAAGCAGATTGTCGCTAAATTCCATCTTTTTCCATCACATTTTTGGGGGAAAACATGATGTGCTTCTGGCTACCTGCTGAATGTAAGTCTAATATTTACTCTATGTTTTGGTTATTTGTTTAGCAAGACCAAACCCAATTTAAAAAAACAAAAGTACTGGTAGAGCAGCTGCCCAATATACTAATGTACTGAGAGTCCCTCTTTCCTGTCTAATTATGGCTGCATTATGCAATAAAGGTTCACATAGCCAAGAAATAGCCCCTCCTACTGGTAATTACTGAATTTTGGATTTTACCAGCAAGGCATACCATCTTAAATTAGTCAGCATTTTTCATATTTCAAATTAGGAAAAGCACAGGTGTAAATAATAAAATGAATGATGGCCCTGATCCATTCTATGCCAATCATGTTTTTTCCCTCACTAACATGTCTGTTCTTACTTTTCCTGACTCAGGAAACCATTTAATGTAATGTGATAAAACTCTAGAAGTTCATTATATGAACCAACAGAAACGCAAACGCCTTGAGAGAAGCTACTGTAAGCATCTGTACTTTTCCGTTAAGCGCCCAGTTGTCATTTATTATGCCCTCATTGACACCTCACATCTTACAAAAACACTGCTGCGTGTTCGTAAGCTCTGCGTCATTTCCTGCCGTCAGGGCCTGTGTGGAGATGTTTTTGTGGAAGTGGGATGTTGTCGTGTGCCAAAGGCTCATGAGAGGATACCAGAGATCAGAAGCATGTTCATGACTGAGCAATTCCCTCGGGAGGAAGTCATTAGGAGGGGGTGCCCAGTGTCAGATGTCAGAAACATTTCAAATGACTGAGGACAAGCTGTATTGTCACTTGAATCATACAAAATGTAACACTTTTGTTCTTTCACTGAAAAACTTTATGGCAAATAACAACCCTGTTTAGATAATTATTTAATAACTCCTTGAACATAAATTCACTGCATTTCTGTAGCTTTATCTCATGTTGACATATTAGTTTAATCTCTCTGTCTCCTGGGCCCTGCTCCTAGAACATATGATGGCTCTTAATGTGACCCGTGAGAGGTACTTCCCTCTTCCTTTTCCTCTACTATCTGGCAAAGGGAGAGTCCACACACCCCAGTGGACAAAATCAGCCCTATTTAACCCTGTCATTTGGCTCAGAGGCGCATAAACCGTGCATCACTTGTCATCCCGCTGCATTCATCCAACTCAACTCTGACCGGTCATAAATATGATCTGGCTCTGCTTCACATTGGTGTTGTCATTTACTTCAGTCATCTCTGATCAAAACATTGACTCAAGCCACATCAGAGGTAAGTTTTTCAAGCTCTATTTACTCATTTGTCAAATCTGATCTAGTTTTTTGAATAACTTCAATTCATGTGTTTCCAGTTTTTCCAGGGAAAGATCAAAGTGTTGCTGGAGTATTTCAGGTTAGTGACTTAAATTACCTGAACCAGCCTCAGTACTCCTACAATGCCTCTGATGCTCGGAGCCTCTGCTTGTCCCTCGGAGTGAACATCGCCTCAAAGGCACAAGTGCAGGAAGCTCTCACTCGAGGTCTCGAAACATGCAGGTGAGACCAGAGAAGAGTGATCACCTCAGTCATATAAGTGGAGTTTAATGAAAATTGCCTGATGTTCTGTTTATGTTTTTTCTCAGATATGGATGGATTGATGAACATTTAGCAGTCATTCCCCGCGTCAACGCCCTTCTTAATTGTGGAAAAAACAACACTGGCTTGGTGACATGGCGAGTCCATGTTACAAGGAAGTTGGATGTGTTTTGTTTCAATGAATCAGGTAGGACATATTTTAATGTTTTCATTAAACATTTCACAGTGCTTTACGCCTAATAGTAAGAGACAACTGTTAATTGAAGATATCAATCATCCTGTCCTTTAAACAAATCATACATCAGAAGGTATTCGCTCCCATTAGTGTTGATGAAAAGTCCCTTGCATAGGGACACCATTTACATTTGGACTGTATTCAACTTTATCTGCATATTGAAGTATGAAAGCTTGTTGTTTGTATGTTGTCTTCTCCTGAATGTTGTGCGTTTCTTGTTTGTTTTTTTGTATTTTTGAAGGCACCTTAAAAAAAGGAGTAGCCCTACTCATCTCAGTGTACCTGTGACAATAAGGGATTCTCTATTCAGGGTTAATCTGCATTCTTTTTATCATCTTACAAAACTTGTTTAATACCCGTCTCTTTACTTGTTATAACATGTATTCTCTGTGGGACGAATAAGGGCATTCTGATTCTGAATAGAAAAATACTTTGCTCCACAATTCATGATAATTAATTGTTAGATTAGATATTATAAAACAGTATAGGTTTGTTTAACCCTCCACAATTGTTCATACTGTAGACTAAACAAGACAAGACCCCTGTCCCCAAGGACATCGCTATCAGTACCTAGTTCCATAAGGGAGGCAGAAGGAATTTCTAGTCAACATACATTTATCAAATGGCATGCACTAACTCTTATCTTATCTCTCATGGTCTTCGTGTACATGCACAGATGCAGCTAGACAATTGAAGGATGCAACCACTGATAGCCCTTCGGACAGGACGGATTTCTCGGGGCAAACTCAGTCTTCTTCGAGAGCAGCAAGCTCAAGCCCGACCTCTTCCTCCTCAACTCCTACAACCATAGATTACAGGGCAAAACCAGCCCGGTTTGTGGGCGGCTCACAAAGCTCTGCTGGAGGTACGAGCATTTTGTTCACAAGGGAATTAATACTGTTGACTTTTTGAAGTAATGAGTTCATACTATACTTTTTTATTTACATTTTGTATGTTGTCTTCTCCTGAATGTTGTCCGTATCTTGTTTGTTTTTTGATGGCACCTTAAAAAAAGGAGTAGCTCTACTATCTCATTGAACCTGTATAATGACAATAAATGATTCTATTCTATTCTATTCTAAATGTGATTGTTATGAATTACTTATATATTTTCCCTTTTATGTTTTATCGTTCCAGCAAAGGCAATACTCATCACCTCAACTTGTGGCCTTTTCCTTATCACAATAATCATCCTTGCATTCATAAAACTGTGAGTAGTTTTCCTATGAGCAAACTCTTTATAAAACTGAGGCTTAAAGAGAGATTTTTGGTGTTTTGATGATGCTATCTGGGTTGAATTTGTATATAGCATTACTCAAAGAAGCTACATTGTATATCATCACTTAAAAGCATGGGGTGAACTGATAAGACAAAGCATCCTTCTTTCGTATAACATTTTGGGTAGATCATATTCAATCATGTTTTTCCTTTGTTATTGTATACATCTGTAAGTACATTGTATGATTTGTTTCTTTCTCTCTGTGAAAAGGAGAAGAAGTCGAGCAGTGAGCACAGACATTAAGCAGGCAGAAGAGTACATCCAGACGGTGGAGTGGACGTCTGAGGAGAAAACCGAGGAGGCTGCTCAGGAAGAGGAGAGAATGGAAGATGAGAGAATAGAAGATGAGAGAATGGAAGATGAGAGAATAGAAGATGAGAGAATAGAAGTGGAAGAAAATGCAAGTTAAACATTTCTGATGAGATATCTTTAAGAAGCCCTCAATGGACCTCTACCATGTAATAATCTTTTTTAGAACAACAATTGTCCCCTTGTTTGTTTTTTTTAAGTTCTGTGAAAGAGTGGCCTTTAAGGGTGTTTTATTTTGTAAATGTTATGTGTATGTTTTTTCAGCCCTCTGATGTTATTAAATGGTGCAGTTCAGCCACTAGATGGTAATGTGTGCTATGCAATCATTGTGAAGACTGAATACTTTTTATTCTTTTAGTATAGTGCTTTATATAACAAACACATGTGTTAATGCAGCATTTCAACAACAACTTCAAGCATTAAAAGGGACTTGTCTCTTTGGAAATCTCCCAAAAAATAAATATTGATATCTTTCCAAATCATTTTAAGAAAGGCTATTTAAGTGAGACAGAGGAAATGTACCAGACATCATCTGTTATCAGAGTCTCCCCAAGCTTTGAGTAATGCTCTCTCAACCTTAAGTGTTCTCGTGTCTGATGTACAGTGTATACAATAACTTAAAATAAATGTCAACTGTACGTTTCTATGACATAACCCCCTTCATAAAATAAAGTGCAAGTTACAATTGCGTATACATAGTGGGCTTGGCCCTCAAACGGTTTGATCTAAACCTTTGAGGACCAAAGTGCCATGAGTCATCCAAAGCATGCTGCTAATCAACTTGTCACAGGCTAAGAATTGTTGTTAAATTGGAAGGATATTATAGTTTCATTTTATCATCACAGGTACTCTTTGGCCCTTTTCAAAATGAAGTTAAATGTGATTACTGAGAACTCAGCATGCTTGGATTCTGTCTAATGTGAGGTCCGTTTTAATCATACTGGGAGTTCATGGCATCAGACTTCACTGCATCCGCTATGAAGCTGAGTTCATTGCACAGCGTATCGTGTCTGTAGGCCATGCGGATCTGCGCGACGTTGCTCCTGCGGATATCGTTCCCTTCAGGTCCGTCTTTCAGATAGTTCAGTCCTAAGAAGTGGCACTTATCCTGCAAACAAACAAGATACATTAGTGGGATACAAATGGGATCAATGTAGAAGAAAATGTGATAAAGCAGAAAAGATAATGAGAGTGGAAGTGTCCTTACCTGGTGAGACAGTCCACTTTGCAGCACACTGTTTCTGGCTATCTCACAGACATCACAGGTGCTGAGTTTCCAGAGCTGAGCTGCAATAGCGTACTCTTCCATCAGTGGTTCCTAAAATAAGACACCCAGACAATGCATAACAATGCAGAACTACAGAAATAGTGATCTATAAACATTGTATTTCCAGTGTATCAGTTTCTCTTTACCTTGGTGTAGTGGAACAGCATGGGGTCATCTGTGGACAGAGACACACACAGGCCTTTGTGCAGAAACTCTCGGAGAGGATTTTTGGAGTATTCCAGGAACAGGCTGTTGTTGCTGAGTGGAGACATTGCAATTGGCACCTGGGCCAGGTAGTACAGGTACTGCAGCACCGGGCTCTGAGGGAACATTCAGTTTAAACAATAGATAAATAAATACAAAAGACAAATACATAGAGTGACTGGCATCCATACAACATGAGACAGGTAACATGAAGGCAACGTTGCTTGTTCTAGACTTAAAGCAAAAATGTTGAGATTTTCAACCTTTTAATCAATCAGTGGAGTTGATCCCACCCTTTTTTCAGGAACATACTGTCCATCAACCAGAAATTAAAACTTACTTCTATCTTTCTCTCCTACAGTTCTCAGATTCTCAGTTGTTCTGTTATGAAACACAAACTGAAAGAAATGTGTTCCCAGACTAACAAACAGTGACAAGATTGAGGTTGATTTCAGTATTGATTACGTTGCCTTTTGGTCTAGAGATAAGACCAAAAGGCAACGTGAATGAAAACACTCTACAGCGTTCTCACATTGTCTGTGCTATTTTGGTCTACTGTAATGGATTCTGAACAGGGACCAAAGCATAGAGGCCCGTCTCATTATTGATCTTTGCAGAGCTGATCTCACACAGCAGCAGCCCCATGTTATCCCCTCTCTGCACTGAGAAGGATTACTCTTGAGTTTGTATATATTCTTCAGAAAGCATCCTGAATTTCCTTTCAACAAATCTGAAGTACCTTCTTCAAGTTGAGTCCATGTGAGATGTTGTCTGACGTGAGGAAGGCAGAGACCAGGTGAGTGATCGATCCAGCTTCTCCGCAGTGGGGGCGGAACTGGAAGGTGCTCAGTCCTCGCTCTCTGTAGAGGACACAATGGACGATCAATATAAGAGCGAATTATAGAGCTGTGTCTTATAATGCTCATTCTTCATCATACTGAATATTTATAGATATCGGCTGTAATGCATATTGTGATGTACAAGTTACTGTTATCCACTGGTGAACACTAATTAATACATTTACTGACCTACTAGGTACAGTACTTGCATTACACCACTAAAATCCAGGCACAAATATTGTACAGAGAACTTATTAAAAGTATATTTTATAAAGTATATTGTAATGCTAATACTCAATTCAATGTGTACAATGATAATAATAATAATGCATTTTATTTATAGAGCACTTTTCTAGAAACTCAAAGACACTTTATAGAGTAAAAATTCATAAAAACATAATTAAAACAACACACTTAAAATATATAAAACACAACATTATTTACAAATTAAAAGCAGTTCTGAAGAGGTGAGTTTTGATTTGTGATTTGAACATGTACTTCGTCCTCCTTTGCTCTCATCAGCTATGCGTTTTTATTAGTTTAGTATTTTCCTTTGATTTATTCATTATTTCTTCCCAGTAGGATTTTCTCCATCAGTCTCCCAGCAATGGAATCTCCTTTATTGACGAAATATGTGTTATGTCGAAGAAAAAGGCCTTAGTGCTTACTTTCTGAGGTTGTTGAGAACCATGATGTTTGCGTACATGTGGAAGATGTAGTAGCTGTAGGGGGGGTTGTCATCTGTGGTCCAATCTTCAGGCTTTGGGCTCCTGAAGGAGAACATGTGATCGCTGTGTTTGGACTCATCGTCCACACTGTCAAAGCCTGACACCTGCACAGGAAATAGTACATGCATTTGGTACTGGAATGGTTTTATAAAGTCTGATCCATGCATATTGTTTAATTATGACACACATATTAGTTATTTGTCTCTATATCTGATCATTCTTAAATATGAAAATACTCATAATCATTTGTTACATCAAATATTGGCAAGAAGGTTAAACAAGAAGAAAATCCAGACACTCCAAATAAGTGAGAATAAGTCATAAATTAAAAATCCTTAATGTTGGTAACATTGTTCAAATGATCCGAACATGATGGCTTTTTTTAATGATTATGCCACTACAATAAAAGTTTTTTTTTTAAAGTGCTACCACATTGAAACTCGTTTTATATTCTGTTATGTTCTCATGTTATAGAAAATCTCAAAACATCTTTGGCTGAGTAGATGTTGGTATGATTGACCCTTACAAGAAAAACATCTTACATATTGGAGGAAGACATTGAGGTGTTTGTGCTTCTGTGGGTTAACAGTGGCCTCAAAGAGAGGAAGGAATATGTTCTCCAGCATCTTGGAAAAATTAGGTACCAGCTTCTTCTCCTTAAAAATATCACTGAAACAAATGAAAACATTGTGTTATAATTTAGGGAAATGTCAAGATTTTTTAATTATAAGGCTGAATTGTAGTGTAGCACTCACTATATTCTGGGCACTTGAATGATCCACCTCATGTTTGGAGAGTACACTTTGTGGTTGATAAACCACTTAGACAGACTGTCCCACTCCTCTGGAGAGCGCCCGTAGATGGAAACACGTGGCTCTGCATGCTGGTACTTACTCTCCTCCAGGTTGTGGGCCACTTCCTGTTAAAGGTGATAAGTAGAGTGTGCTAGACAGTCTTTGCAAAGGTTGTTATTTAAAACATATGAGTACTATGATACCTTTATGATGCTTGCAAAATACTCTCCATTCATGTAGTTGTCTGTTTTCAGGAAGATTTCTCGTAGTTCACTGGCTCCCACTGGATTATACTTTGAATTGAATTTATCAAACCGGTGGAAGGTATGTCTCCCCTGTAAAGTTTAGAAATTACACAGCATAATTGTGAACCCAAAGTGTTAAGTCACAAAAAAGTACCAACAAATACTGGTATTTACCGGCACTGGCAGTGAAATTGTGTAACACAAGCATAGTGAGTGAAGGAATTGTAACTAGCAATGGAGTTTTTGACAGTAGCATCATACATTGTGTATAAAAACATTCTGACAAAATGTTTAAAAAAAAAATTCCAGCCATTTCAACATATTTAAAAGTAAACACAGAACAAATGAGAATAAAATGCTAAAACATTGTGGAAATGTCTGATTCTCTTACAGCATGTACATCCAGAGAGTCCACAGTAAGGTCATAGGGGTCCTTATTGAGACAGTGGAAAACCTGCCTGAGGGTCAACTTTTGTCCATCCTTTTCTAACACCACACGGTCTGAGTCAGTCTTATATGTTTCCTGGATGAAGGTCAGCAGGTGTTTCTGAGACATGCAGGCAGCTGCATGAATATGCGTGTCCACCTGGGAGAAAAAAACAATGTCTATGTTCAGTCTACTTGACAAGTTAAGTGTTTACAAACACACTTTTCTCCCCTCCTTTTTCTTTTTAACAAGGTGATAGTATGTACTGAAAAGAAGCAATATTGGATTACAAAGAATATAAATCTAACCTTCCTAACATTGTAGAAATCTCTATGAGGCACACTTTTGAGTTCCTTTAGCTCAGCCATCTCATTGAGCATTTCATGGAGGTAGAACTTCGAGGTCAAGAAATTAAGTCGTCTGTGACAGTAGGTCTTTCTGTAAATGAGAGTGGGCTTCAGTTGAATGAGTGTAACTCAGTAATGCTCACATAAGTGGCAACAACCAGTTTTACAACCAGGGCTGTTTACTCAACCAGCATAGCTGTAGCGTCTTTTTGTTTAGGAAACTTACGTGGGTCCATCTGCAATCATTACCAGCACTTGACCAAGGTCTATGGCAAACGTCTCTAAGTCTGGGTAGGGTAGGTCATGGGGATGGTTTTCTCTCAGAGCCTCGGCATCGTCATACACATTAACTATCCCATCCTTCATCTTCAGCTCATAGTTCAGATTCTCCGGGATGTTCTCCATGCTGTACGGATCCTCCCCATCTTTTGGACATTGGCACATATCTGGAGGCAACA